CTCTCTCTCTCTCTCTCTCTCTCTCTCTCTCTCTCTCTCTCTCTCTCTCTCTCTCTTTCTTCGCTTTCTCTCCCTCTCTCTTGCGCACGTACACGCGCTCGACGATTCTTATCTCCCGTTTCAATTACGACTCTTTAACTTATCTTAGAGTAAAATACGCTGTTCTTCTGTGAGCATTGGAGTGTTAAATGGCGAATCGTGCGTAACTCTCTCACAGCGGCTTCGTGAAATTCGCCGGGAACATGCCCTTCTCGTTGGTGCCTTCCTTGATGCCCATTAACCAGCCTTCTTCCTGCAGCAAACGAAAGCGACATCGAGATAAGATAAGAGTCACTGGAAATGTAGGCGCGAGCGCGCCGTGCACTTAAAAATGCGTCGCGGATGAGAGTCGACTCTCGTCTACGAGCAATCGGAAACACGCACCTGTTCCTCCGGATCGTCGTACTCCACGACGCGTATGATCTCACCGACGTCGAACGACAACTCGTCGACGTCCTCGCGGCTGTACTTGTAAGTGGCCTTCACTCTGTACAGCACGCCCGGCGGTAGATTGTCGGTCGTCGCCCCTACAGAGAAATTGGTAGCATTTTCATATTCCACCTCTAGAAGCATCGAATCCGCCCCGTTAGTCATGGACCTGTCTGCGATCTCGTCCGCGGCCGGACACGATATTGCTCGACATGCAACGTTCAAAAAGTACGTTTCGTTCATTTATAACAATTGTACATATAGTCGATCGCGTTCGGATCGAACTATTCGCCTCGGCAAGACCATGCACAAGAGAGGCAGCAGCAAGCAGCGCTACTACCAACTAACGGTCACGATGCTACAAATTTTTTTGACAGACACTCTCGAATTACCGTGTATCACGTATGCGCATAATTTACTCGGGGGAATTCGGGCGACAAATTGAATTTAACTGCGCGAAACGGAAATGAATCGACGATTAAAACGATTCACAGGACGACGAACTTGTTCCCAACAATATGATTTATTTTCATATGTTTTGTATTCTCACTTGAATATCCTATATCTGTCTTCTATTTGACGACGGTTTGTGGAAAGAAAAGGAGAACAGACGTCATTAGTCGAGAATGCGTATTTGGGATAAATGTTGGAGCCGAACAGCGTTAGGAACATAAAGGAGCGTCAAAGGGCACTCCGCGGAGTTCAATATCCGCGGGCGACTTACCGACAGGAATATCGTACAACTCCTCAACCCGCTTGGAAGGCGCTACTGCGCTCTGCGGCGACGCGTCCTGGTTATTGAGAGAGTTATCATTGCTGTTAGCGTTGCTGTTAGCGTTGCTGTTAGCGTTGCCATTTATCTGGGTGGTCGGCGACGAGTCTCTGGCCTCGGGCACGGTGTCGTCTAGGGCTGAAACACGCGACAGGGAAGCACACTCAAAACTGAACGCACGCCGTAAGTCCAACAACACGGCGTTCTTTCCAGCGGGAACGGTCGCGCGTACTCCCGTCGTTTTCCCGTTCCCATTCGCGAGTAGCAGGCGACGGGGATACACATCACGAGAGGAGGCATGCAAGTATCAGGGCAACGCACACACGCACGTCTACGCGAGTATCCGAGGCACGGGGAGCAGCCCAGACGGGACGGGAAAGACGAGTATTCGAGCGGAAATACGAATGCGAAAATAATTACCTCCTGAGATATTGTTCTGCGACGGTTGCGTGTTGATTATTAAGCTGAAACAAATCGGGACTTTTGTTACTGCTCTGCCATTGACTGCGATATACATTTCGCCTACTTTGTATAATTACTACGGCTCCGCTTTACATAATGATTTGATACTACTGCGTTTCGCGCAATCGCGGCAGATCGCGCGTTTATCTTGCATTAATTATCGGCCGCGTTCTACCGTGTTCTCTATGATTCCCCCGATACCATCCTCCCACCCTCTACACCGTGTTTTACATAGTCGTCCTTGTTCCTTGTTTCGTAATTACTGTGTTTACAACAATATCTGACTAGCGCTATTAACATTTCAGAGAATTGATTTAAAAGATAAAAATTAAAGACTTTTTTATGTCAAATTAATAAAGGAAGTGCCAGGGGCCATTGAAAGCTATATATTTTTCAGTATCACATTAATAAAACTAAAGATAAATTTATGTCGCAGTTGACATTTGTTATTAAAATGAGACGTCTCGTTTTAGTAACAAGTGTCAGTTACGAACAACTGTGATTTTGTTAACGAGGCACTGAAAAGTATTTTGGTTTTTATTAGAATTAATTTACTCACGACGAGTTTGCGTTCGGCGACTTGGGCGATTGCGGTTCCGTGTTCTTCTTCAGCGTGTAAGAACCTCGTTGACTCTCGTTGGCTAATTTATCGACGATCGCTTCCAATTCGGAATACACCTGGAAATATAAGTGCGAAATAGTATACACGCGTGAAGCTATATTTGCGAGTTTTGTCCATTTTTTTTCTAAAACTCAAAATCGAAACTTTCAATCCTGTAACTGTAAAAAAACATTCGTTGGACGTAAAGTATCATTTAAAAGTCAATTGATCGATACGAGGCTGTTTAGTGGCTTAACTCTTAAATATTGCAGCGCGCAATTGCAGCGCGCAATTGCTGGGAATGACTAAACTATAAAACGCACGCGTAGAATTGGTCGATACCTTGGCACTTTCCGTGTGGAACACTTGCTCGGCGGCGAAGAGGGTCTGCAGATTGGTGACGAGGAAAAGCACGCGCGAGTCGTACAATGCCGGCAGCTCGTCGTGCAGCTCGGAATTCAGCTGCTCGTACGTACGCTTCGCCTCTTCCAACAGTTCCTTCCCCCGGGACACCTTCAACTCATCCCTCTTTTTTGGATTGCACTGCAGCGACTGGAAATTGTGTCTCTGACTGTCGTAGTCCACCAATTTACGGCCGCGCTTGTCGATTTTTTTCTGAAAAACCAGAAGAAAGATAATAGAGTGTCAGGAAACATCAGAAATAATCAGTTAGAATTTCCAACGATCGTTAATCTGACTCGATTTTCACTCAATTTGACACGCTTTGTGCAACTAAATTTGCGCGGTCTTGAAACCCGGTATTTTTGCTCGATTCTTTCTCACATTATATGTAATTTTTTTATGAAACATGCTAAAAACAACATTACATCGAGAGAGAAGGATCGCTCAAAGCGACCATCAGCACAGGCTTACACACACACACGCGCACAGATACAGAGAGACAACATACCCTCATCTCCGGGAATTGGCTCTGATATGTGTTGAGTGGCACAAGAACCTGATCCGCGAGCTTGTGAGTGAAATCCTGCCACAGCATGTCGAGATTTTGTGCCTGTACGTATAACAGATCGTGTCCGGTCCATTGGCTCTCGTAGATTTCATTCAACGAGTCCATGAGTGTCTTCGAGGCGGCTTGCACCGCTGCAAAACAAAATCCACACATCGGTTCAACTGTCATTTTTATTTAATCTCGTCTACTTTAAGACCGGAACCACGCCAGAAAATTTGTAGAATTTGAGCGGTAAGTGAATTGGCCAATCACAGTCGATGATTCTTCTCACGGTTCAAGAATAATCGACTGTAATTTTCTTAATGTTTAAATCATGCGTCTTGCCAGCCGCTCAATACGTTAATATCTCATTATCTCATCGAATCGCGGAAAGAAATTGTTCGAACTTCGACGAGACGCACGTAAAAGCGGTCGTCGAGTGAGCCCCCGTCTCACCGACGACACTCGGGAATTCGCGCGGGGAGCGGCCGGGGTTTTGTGTCCACCACTTTGCTGACCTACATCTATAGACCTCACCTTAGCGCGTTCACCCGCGGCGCGATAATAAGGCGAACGCAAAAGTTGCACGCCTCGAATCGCGTGGCGAGGTCTCGTTGTCGTACGTGTTGAATTTCGACGCCGGTGACACACGATTCCCGCGAGGACAAGATGAGAGGAGAGGAGAGGAGGAAGCGTGTGTAGAATTTGATGAGAGATGACAGCGTTCGAGACAGCATAGATGCGATAATTCACACTTATTAGGCGAAAGCGTCAACGCTATCAAAACGCGGCTAAATCGTAAATCAGTTTCTTCAATTAACGTCGCACCACCGCGAGCAATTGAAGGCGCGCAGCAAGTAGCGTTAATACGGATGATTCGCGCGAGCGCTAACGGCATTGTCGTTAGCGCTATTACGGTAATCGACCGTCGTAATTTTCAGTATCATTGCTTTTTAGTCTCGACGATCAGCAGAAGGCTACCTTTCTCGTGCCTTTTTTTCTTTCGACTTTCCTCTCATCCGGCTGGACTAGAACGACGATAAGAACGCCGGCGATAAAGGATCCTCGTGTTGGATCCCGCCGTTCATTAACACTTTAAACGCCGCGGTGATATACAGTCACCAATGTGACCGGCACAATGATATTATCTCATTGAGTTTCTCATTGAGTTACGTGTTGGGGTTGGGGCAGGTTGGCACAAGAGGCAAGTCGTCGCAAGTTAACCACGCTTTCGTTTATTTATTGCGGAATACTGAAGGAGAAAAATGTTCCTCTTACAACGTACATACTTTTCCACGAATTTCGTGAAAACTTGGAAAACACTCTAATTGAAAAGTGAGAAGAGTCTCTCTGATTTAAGAACCGACCAACTCGACAGTCGATTTTCGAGCGTCTCGATATTTCGCGTTCATCATTCTCCGTCGTGACGATTTACCTCTCGAGAACTGCTAAAAAAATCAACTCTCCTATTGAATACGGACACACGTCGCGGAATTCATTGAGAGAGAAAGGTGTCGCAACCTTTTCTGCCACCGAGAGCAATACTTCCGTCCATATTGTCGACGGAGGCACCGTTCACCGAGCGAGAAACTCGGTTCTCCCGTCGCATGCGGGTATTAATGTGCAAACGACGTTGCACAGCCGTCTGTCGGGTGATAAAAGGAAGGCTAAGAGGAACCGCTGCTGACGCGGGTGCCACGCGTTCTCCGAAATTAACACTTCCTACTTGAAGTGAGGAGAAGGATGAAGTCAAGCGGCTGAATGTTGCGCGACGTTTGCATAACGGAGAGTCGCGGCGACGGCGGGCTTATCGAAAATTCTTCCTCGCGTTTGTCACACCTGTGAATTTTGCATCGCGTCGTCCTGAGATCTCGCGAAACTCCGAATACGGAGAGACGAGGTGAAAGATCGGCGACATAATGGAGAAAAAAAAAAGAAAAGGCATATACTGGGCAGGTGATTTGTCGTGTTTGTCAGACAAAATAGAAAACGAAGGAGATTAACAGTTTTTACAAATAAATATAATAAAATTTATTCGACATGTTTTCAGATATCTGCTCTGAGAGAGAAAATATTTAGAAAATAGGAGATATATCCGGCGGATATTGATATTAAATATTTACTTAAGTTCTTTTATTTGTAGAGTTTTTTTATTTGTATGAGTAGAATAAACAATTGCTTTCGTGAAAATTTAAGGTCTAATGGAATAGTGAGGCTGAAAATAGGATCAAAATTTTGACCTAAATAGGTTAAATAGAATCAAAAGATGTAGATTTCAAAGTATTAAAATAGAAAACGTTGAATGAAATAGTGAGACTGAAAGTAGGATCAAAATTTCGACTCGGGCACGGAAAAAAATAATTTGCTGCAGCAAACTAATTTGCTACATATGGACAGCTAAATATAATTCGCTGGTTTTCTCTGCTATAGGAACCTATTTTCTTACTATAATAACAAGAAAATCTGCTCCTGCAGCAAGAAAAGTGGCTGTCTATCTGTAGCAAATTTGCTACAGATGGACAACTAACTAAACATAACTTATTGCTTTAGCTACTTTTTTTGTTGCAGGAGCAGATTTTCTTGTTATCATAGCAAGGAAATTGGCTCCTGCAGCGAAGAAGAAGTGGCTAATACAGCAAATTATGTTTAGTTCTCCATATATAGCAGATCTTTTTTTTCCGTGGGATACGAAGTAAACTCTGCAGAAAAATGTCAGTATTCTATCGGTAGTTTTCAAGTCCGTTAATGCATCGTCTGGGTAAGAGAAGATGCGGACAAATCAGCTGCATCCTACTTGCCGACCGCGCCCTATCGATTGCATAGCTCGCGCTCGGTGCGTCGCAGTCGCGCGCCACTTATCTTATCTGAAATATTAACAATCGCGGCTGCAAGGTCGCGCTGTTTTAATATTTTCGACACGCCGTGGCGCGGGAGATCGTGGCGAATTACGCCGGAAGTAATTTCTTCCTGCCATCATTCAGTGGTCGCTTTGCTTCGCACGGGCGCGCGTACGTGTCTCGTCTATCTACCCACTCTGTGTTGTATTACCGAATATGCGCGCGATTAAAATATTACGTCGATTCCTGCCGTCGTAATTGATGTCGTATGCCCGCGCACAGAACTATACCGTCGCTCGTTACTCAATGTCCCTGACTTATTCATCCGTCCGTCATTCAGCCGCGAGATGATACGCGGCGACGAGAACGAGCGCGCGCTGATTGACGGAAAGCGAAAATGATTTTCCCGAACGATGACGACGCGACCTTCGTAATTTTTCAGCGAAATTTTCATCTCGTTCGGCGCCAAACAAGATTTGCCAAACGACAATGCGCTCTCGAATGCCTGATTCTGTTCGATCACGTACGAAATTGCAAATACAGAGCAATCTGTTTCCAGCCTCCTACGCGAATGGGGATTAAATCGAAAATAAATATAAACTCAAAATGAAACTAAAAATAGATTTATCGGACGCTTCTTTTTTATTGAGTAAAAAAAGACTCGCCAGATTACTGCGTCACTTTATTTTTCCGAACACTCAATTCCCGATTATATGTACACTGAGAGAAAGGTTATTTAAAAAATACAAAATATTTGTCCGGGTATTAATAATATACTCATTTATATTAATATAAAATATTCAGATAAGAAAATATGCATTTCCTTAAAATCTTAGCTTTTCACGAAAGCACATGAATTATTTTTCTATTTAAATAAAAGAATTTAGATTTAAGTAAATATATTATTACATGTAAAAACATGTTTGTTCCAAACTCTGTTCAATAGAATTTTTGATTAAGTAGAACTTTTCCATTTTCCTTCCTCAAACGCACCTAATAAACCGTTGTGATTGCGCTGTTTAACCCTTTGAAGCATACATTTTTCCTTACATAGGATTCACCTGAAATTTATTATCCGGGGGTTTTTGGGATCGCTAATTACGAATGTGAACTCAACATTTCGAAATTCAAAATGGCGAATTCGATGACGAATATGAGCAAAATGTGAAACCGCCTAACGTAGCGGCATGTGAATTCACTGTTTTAAATTTTTCTATTTCAACTAGGAATTCGAAATCAGCGATCCAAAAATACTCCAAGTACCAAGTTTCGCTCAAATATCTTCTGTAGATTAGTCACAATTACATTTACTCTATGAAAAAGTGTTTTTTTTTTGTATTTTGTTCACTTATAAAATCCAAAAAATCGAAACTAAAATTTTGAAAATACTTTTTCGTAATAATTGATGTCCTAGGAATCTAAATATATGATTACATACGTCCTAATACATTAAGAAGTATGTAAAAAGAATAAAAAACCGAGCGCAAAAAGGTGTGCCTCAGAAGTGCCACTGTGCCGCAAAGGGTTAAGGAAGGGATTACGACAAGATCTCTCGACTCACCTCGAACACACCTGATGTAATTGTTGAACTCCTTTTGCAGCCTGTTAGCGGAGTTCTGCTGCCTCGTGAAGTTTTGCAGGTGCTCGTCGAATATGTCGTCCGCGGTTCGGTCGACCTTGCCCAGATTCTGAAGGAACTGAAACGAGAGGGAAATGAATTTTTTAACACTAGTGTCTGTTATAATTAATAGTCTCCCTCTCGTGCGCGACAGATGGAATTTCTCCGACAACGGAGTAACAGAGTCGAGACGAGACGAGTCGTGACTTATCGCCGAATCATCGCGTATCCCTCTATCGAGAAGCTTGTCGGCGAGGTTCAGCGAAACTTGGGTGTGCTCGTGAATTTTTGCGTGGGTCTCGTTCCCACAAAACATTTACTTCGCGTGGGTGCCAAACACCTCCGTATAAGATAACCGAGTTTTCCGTCTCGCGCGACGGATGCTCGACGTGTTTCAATGGAAGACACTTCTCTCCGCATTATCAAAATTTGTTAGCACATCATGTCATTTCGACTATCTGTGCGTTGAGTCCGTATTCACAATTTCTAGGTGTTACAACAACGCGGTTTACGCGTACAAATTCTTGGTGACATTTTACGCGCGGAGTGTTCAGATAAGCTGCGTTCTATTAAATCAACGCAAAAGTTAGAGCGGGTAAATTGGAACATGCGAAATGTGCTAAACTTGACACGAAGTTTTTTGCAGTGTTATACAACAACGAAAGAGAAGTATCGCGGAAAATAAGCCGCGCGGAAGGCGATCTACATTCGCGCGCTACTTTCCCGGCCGGGATTTAATAAGAAACCCATTAGACCGTTCGTAACATTACCATTGTTATCGACAATAAGGCGCGACGTTGCGAAAGGACGTGGATTACGTAACGATAGTCATCGACCGCGGAGAAATTTCACGCCGGGGATGCCGCTCGGTCGATTCGATTTCCGTTCTATCCGCGGGAAAACGTTCGAGAAATCGTCTAAAATCTAATTGCGTCTATTAAGCGAAGAGAGTAGCCGATTAACTGCACACACATACACACACACATGTGTGTGTGTATGTGTTTCGTTCATTGTTAGAAGAGAGGAAGTAGGAAAGAGAGGGAGAGAAAGAGAGGCATAGACGTTTAAATTAATTCTTTCAGACGATTTCTATGACGTTTATTAAGAACAGTTAACCGACGTTAGCGGCAACGTCGCTCGGTGTTGCGGATTATCAATCATCCCGACGGGATTATCATTGTCAAAGACAAAGGATGAGACGCATAATGGCATCACTTACACTGACGTATCTGTTGCTTTTGGTATTTAATATTATTCAAACGGAGATAAGCTGCCGAGCGAGCAAGTGAGTCTCCGGCCAGCATGTGAACCCGCATTAGCGGACCAACAGAAATAGCGTTATCGCGCGGAATGAGTCATGGATGCATGCATGGAAGGGGGAGGGGAGGGCGAGGGCCAATTTTCGCCCCGGAATCCGCGCACTCACAGCGACGATTGCGAATATATATATATATACGCTGATATATGTATCGTCGCATCGGTCATCTTATACGGTGTATCGATTGTACCGTTACGTTAGCAGCGCGATATTCCGCGAAATCTCGTTTCGCGTAGCGAAACGCGAGGCTTACGTTACACGTCATACGAAATTACGCGTACTTCTGTTAACGATTATCGCGTATCTGACTGTCAGACAGGTCAGACGCGAGTTTACTTTCCGCGAAGTTTCAGACTGTTGGCGAATCTTCTTCTGGTGAGCAAGACTCGGCAGTGACAGTCTCTGCCGTTTTCTCTCTCTCTCTTTCCTTTTCCCTCAAAGTTTTCAAGAACCATTTAACTTTAACGAAGATCGTCTGTCTCGGACCAGCTCGGCGATATCGATGGCGTGACTCGAGTGCAACTTTCGTACTTGTATTTTATACTTTTTGTTTCAGTAATTACAAGATACTCCGAGATACGCGAGTCCGAATTTAGAGTTAGATCTGTGTGCGTGAGGATTCTTCCAATTAAGTTATATAATACGATGAATCATGCGCGATACAAGACGCTGCGACTGTCAAATCGCAATTCCACCGAAAAACACCGCCTATATCTAACTCCAGGCTCAAATTCGAGCATCTCACGTGAGGTGCTCAAGTCTCTCAGGCAAAACGACTATTAATACCGGGCCCCAAAAGTCCACGCTAATACGCGCAACGATTGGCCGATACCGAGGCTTCGTCTACAATATATGGAGTAAGCTTGGTATAAGAAGTAAAAGTAGGAATAAGAAATAAAAATAATTTATTTCGCTGATACTCTAACTTCCCTTGAAATATTTAAGTTAACCTTCTAATCGTTTCGGGTATACTTTGATCATGTTCTAAATAGACCTAATGGTGAGAACTCACCATTTAATTGATATATGTATTCTTTCATATCTTTTAATATTATATAAAGTAATTTAGTACAGTATATACTGACTTTTTCTAAAATAACTCGAAAAGTCGCGAAATATCACATTTGTATTTAGAATATTACAAAAACTGTGTGAACTTTGAAACTGCTCCGGGTCAAAAAAGAGCACGGCTAGAAGGTTAAAGAATTCATTTTCCAATGAATAAGAAAATGAATGTATAAGCAGGTACATATATATAAACAAAATAAATTATTTTTATTCTTTATCTCTATTCTTACTTCTTACGCTGAGCTTACTGTACGTATCGTAGGCGATGCTTGATAAGTGTTAATTATCGCGTCACCGACACGACCTACTGTGCGATCGACGACGTTTTCTTACCTGTTCGATAGGAGACACGATTTTTGTCACGATCTCTCTCTCTCTCTCTCTCTCTCTCCTCCCCTCCACCCTCCCTCTCTCTTTCTTTCTCTCGCTCGCTCACTCTCACGTATACCTTCGTACCGTTATCCAGTCGGCGTGTAGCTTCCATTCGATACTACCTTGTAGCAGGTGAGAACGAAGACTGTGAACTCGTTTACACGCACGGCCGACTTGCACGTACGATTTGCGTACACGACTCGCCGGGACACGATTGCGCACGCGAGCGCGTTATAAATATCGGGCGAGCACAAATTAAATTAACGAACGTGACTTTCGTGGAGCATCGAACTGTCGCAAATGCCGCGAGTTTCCCGGCGGGAGTTCCGCGAGCCACGCGAGGAGAGAGTTGTACCGCGCGAAAATCCCACAAACTTCATGGACATAATCAATCTCGCGCGCGTACTGCATACCGCGAAGCGTCATAAAATACCCGCCGGTATTCTTTCGCGACTTCGTCCGTATCGAAGACGACTGTCGGACGTGCGATTCTCGCCTCGTGACTCTCGAACTCCTCTTTTTTCTCTACGGTCATCATCCTCGACGGCCAATTATTCGCTGCTTCCGCTACACTTTTCGTATAAATAGGAAAACTTTCACTCGCGCGCGCGCGCGCGCGCACGATCATTACGGGAATATGGAAGATTCCTCGCTGCGACGATCGGTTCTCGCAGGTTTCTGCCTTGAGCCAGAAAATATAATCTTGTTATTAGAGGATATCCTCTTATATGTGGAATCTTCCCAACGAAAACCGAAAGGAAAATATTCTAAGCACGATATTTTCAAAATTCGAAGAATCTCGTCTTTTATATAAAGTGCAAGTATTGTCTTACTTCTTTAGCACTGACACATATCTACAAAAATATTTCGAAGTTTGATAATTACCTGAAAAAATGTGCGAATCGACTTTCCTTGTCGCCACTTCGTATCTTACGGGCCAAAGAAAAGATAGATATGTATACGCTTAAGCGGGAGTAAAACAGAGAGAGAGCAATAGGTTTTTTTTTCATTGGAAGTCTTATTCATTGGAAGAGATATCTTCTAGTAACAGGACACACTGAAAGAAAAATTATATTAAAATCAACAAATATTTCTTCGATGGGTGCCATTAACATATTTACTTAAATCTACATTCTCTTTATTTATCTATTTAAATCAAATATTGTTTACCTGATTTAAATAAACAATATTTGGTTTAAATAAAGAGAATATAGATTCAAGTATGTTAATGGCACCCATCAAAGAAATATTTGTTGATTTTAATATAATTATTCCCTCAGTGTACTTCAAGCAAACATATTCCTTTTGATTCAAAAGAGAGAGAAGTGATAGTAGATTAATCACTTGAACAGAAAGGGAATACTCTTTCGGTAAGAACTTTCGCTTAGAACATGGAGTTACAGGAAATAGCAGCTTGCAATCACTCAGACAGACTTTCATGATTATCACAACCTGAGACAATCGATGATGGAAACTTTACAACTTTACTTTAATTACTTTTATGAAGTAAACATACTGTATTAAATTAATTAGTAAGTTTACGTCGCGCGAAATAGATTTCTTGTTGTACTGACGCAGTAATAAATTTACCAAAAGTTACAATTAGATCCTCACATTACATTTGTTGTTACATATTGTTTGTGACAAAGTTTGATAATTTTTTCGGATTTTTATTTCATCTATGTGATAAATATGAATACAATCTAATTTGATCAGATTTAATTTGAATTTTTCTTTTCTTTTTTTTAGTGTTACACACATAATATTTTTCTTTCGATTTTAGAACAATTCTTTTGAGGCCAAATATAAGAACATCCATTGAGAATAAGATTATATTCTTTTGAGTGAAATTCACTTAAAATTCTGGTCGATCTGCCGGGCACGCGACTACGATTTTCTATTCCTGTCTCTGCCATCCGACTTTCTACGTCTTCTATCCGCGGAACGACGGCGCGACAAACACGAAGTCGCAGTGTAACCGAGTGCGCTCCGCCGTAAAAGTTCTACGCGCACGTGGAAAATATTGGCGTAAAGAAAGAAGACATATTCAATCCGATCATATTATCTTGGGACCTCTTGGCGCTATTTTAAGGCGCCAGGAGCGATTATGAACACGCGTCCGCGCGGTCTCCTTAAAACACTGTATTTTTAATAACGCCGAGGCTTCCAAACGCGAACCAACCCGGACGTGTCGTTTCCGAAATAGATGGTCCTCTCTCGGCTATATTAATAGCCGAGCAGATGACGCGAATGTGCCGTTGCATCGCTATTATTGTGTCATCCTATGGCCCCGTTTCGCCACTCGCCGCTGGTTCACATTG